TTTTCTTTTATGGTTGCATATTTTCCTTCGACTTGAAAATGCTTTGATGTATATGGAGCGAACTAGCCGAGATAAAGGAGACCGGAATGGCTACTTCTGGCTTAGTAGCCGTCATCAGTCAATCATAGCCAATCCCAGGTTTGGATGACCTGAGTGTGTGAGTTAGCTCTAGCTTCATTTCCTGTCGCGTATGGATTCGCTTGTTTGATTGCAACGTTTGCAAACTCTCTTCCATTTTACTGTTAGCAGCAACTTTCCCCGAAGTTGGGTGACCTTTTCGTCTGAAATATGACGAAAATGTCGACCTTCCGCTTGTTGCACGACTGCGGCTAACATTTTCACTTCAAGGGTCTTCTTCTCAATAATCACCTCAGTTAAGAACCGATTCGCATTTAATTTTGTATCCCTTTTAGCATTTTTAGCACGTGTCTTGTCAAAATATTGACCATCGCGGAGGAGATTAGTAGTGTATTTCGTATGGTCTTTTATAAGCTCTCGAAAATCAAATACTGTAACTGTAAGCGAGATGGAATGAGTTGAATATTGACCTTGTTTCCCTGTAGAGGTAGTTGAACAGCAGCATCTTACTCTCAAACCTTCTTTTTATCTTCAGGTATTCGCGCGCTTAAGGAATCCAGCTACTTGCAGAAATGCGAACCTTGAGTTGGATGGGTAAGAGTAAAATTTACATTGTTTAAGTTAATTGCTGCGTCTTGACAACAACAAAGTCTTGCCAATATCGGTTTGGAATGTGTTTTTATCACTCCCGACGCTACGTCAGAAAACAACTTACTTTGACCTACCCCAGCTGTTGAAAGGGCTGTCGATCATATTTCACGTACATTTTTAAGCAGCTTACTTAAGTTTCTTTTCCAACCGGGTCATTAAAGACTGGAACAAAATTCCTTCTTCAGTTGTTCTTGCTGAAAACGTGGATGCATTTAAAAGACTACTTGATAATGCATTGTTTGCTAGTCATACATTTGGCAGACAACGATGTTTGATATAATGCACATATATGGCTCTGAAACATATAAATGAGTTGACAGAATCTATCTGTAAATAGAGCTTTCAAAGGCTCTGCCTATCTCCCTTATATATATTGGACTATACTGAATTATAATAAGGTCATACACGTATATTTGCTTTGCATTTTTTAAGCTGTCCGATGTTCACTGGAAAGGAGGTGGAGCCACTACAGTTTCTTCAGACTGACAATGTAGGTTGTTGCTTACTTTTGTGTTTTTGTTTTAATTTAGTCTCTTTTTTATAAATCTTGGACCAGATCATACCGAATGGCATTTAAACTATGTCAGCTAAATGTTCGATGTATGTAGATTGTAAACCGGTTCGTTACTGTTTAACCGTAGAAACGATAGTAAAACAGTATAAGAAAGCTTGAATGTGGGCACAACCTTCATCCTGTTGACCTCCACAATCCTCATCTTCTTTCTCTTTGAACCCCTTTGCTTCCTTTTTGGTCGGTTATCATGGAACTCGCAGTGCTTCTTAACTGATCTACGAATGTTTTTAACTTGCTATTGTTTACATTGATTAAATGACTTTTTTCATTATAAAAATGTACCCTAATAGGTAGGGATACGCGTTTTGGTTAAATGTGTAACCGTAGAGGTAATATAGCAATTATACGGTATGGTACGGAATTGGAACTCGCTCCACCCGCCTAATACAGATGACCTTACGGTATGTTCCAAAAGGTCAGAAGTAAGTACGAGAATAGGCACCTTTCCTGTAAGGTAACACAGATCCACCTGACTAACGGGGAATTTCCTATGCTCTGCTTTTCCGATCAGTCTATGTGTAGTGTTAGTCTGAATAAGTGTCGTCATCTAGATAAGCAACTTCTTGAAGCGGTTAGCTAATACTCGTTGATGAACGTTGACCAGACCGCTAACGGGCCTTATCTGTCGCTCTTGGGTTTAGGTATGACTGACTGACGGCGGCTATTAAGCCAGAAATGGCCATTTCAGTCTCCCCTGTCTTTTTCGGCAATACTATCTGCCTATACTACCAGCTGTTACGGCTATCAGGGCCTCTGGCGAGGCTCAAGGCAGAGCAGGACAGATGAGTCCCGTTAGTGGTCAGGTGAACGTTCATCAACGGGTGTTAGCGAAATTCCCATTTACTTGGTTAGTTTTCCTTTCCGCTTATCGAGAGAATCATGGAGTGTTTGTGCAGCGCCTAAGTGGCACACTGATGTTAGGGATTTCCGCCAGGTTGGACATTGTACGCAGCCCTCTCGATGGCGATCTGACTCGGAGTGACCATTAATAAACAACGAGGCATGGAACAGAGAATGAGGCCGACCCTCCTCTAATATCATTCGCTAATAATAGATATGAAGTTATTAATGTTTACTGGCGGGATAAATCAATCGTATAGAAAGAGAGTCAAATTGTACTTGCCCGAGGATGTATGACTCTCACTAACGGGAGATTAGAGTTAGTCAAGTCGAGATCATCCGGGTCAAGGGGACAGTACATGCATGGATTACGGAGTAGATGCGTTGGATCGACACGGGGCTAACTCAGGATTCTGGATGCACACCCATAGCACATGATGCCCATGGGGCGGTTGCTCGTTGGAACGCCTAGTTGCAGGCTCACGTCTCCTCAACCTCCGATGCCTAATCTCGCCTTTCTTGACATTGAGCTGGCATGGGAGGGGGAAGAGAGAGTGCGACAAATGCTGCGCATGTCTAATATCCTTTTAATTCACGCACATGTCGACGTCCCAACGTCCTGTCGGAATAAATGGTCGAACTGGCATGTCAGGTGCATACTACACGTTGACGCGTGGTGAATCTTTCACCAGTCACTCGGTCTACGTCTTTATCCGTTATATACAGTAGACGCCGTTGATCATGCAATATTTCGACATATGCGAAAGA